CTGTCATTGGAAGCTATCACGTTCAATGACTTATTATTAAGCACTGGACTGGAGACCTTACCTTACATTCTTTGAGTGTTCTCTGTCAAGAAAGGAATGTGCAGCCATTGCTTTCATGGGGGGCCTTGACATGTCTAAACCATCTTCACCGAGAGAAGCGCTCATTTAGGCTAATGCTGGCTTAAGTCCCTCTTGAGTTTTGATCATTACTTGTGTACTAGCTGTACTTTTCCTTTACCTTTGAGTTGACATACCATCCTAAGGTCAGCCAGTGCCAGATCCTGGGGTGTCCTCCCCGCCTGTTTGTTTATATTTTTGTCTCTAAGTATCACTGGTTACAAGGCACAAACATCAAGGCTTGGTGTCCAGTGTGTCCTGTGTTTAATTTTGGAGACTGGCAAAATTACGAAGTAACGTAAGTGTAAGATGAGAGTATAGATGTCTTGAGAGGTTGAAAAGTAGGTTAGATTTTTTCTCCTGCTTTGCAGTTGTTACTCATGTTGGTTATAGAAACAGCTCTAGAACAGGAACCAAGACAAAAAGAAGGTGAAACTTTAGCTATATGGGAAAGAAACCATTGTGTTGAATTAAGCTGATGCTTTGTAATTACTGGAAAAATTATCTTTTAGTAGGCTCATTTGTATTGAAACCTCTCCATCACTTGGGGTTCCATTTGTTTTTAACTTGATTGCTATGCTGGAGAATGGGCATGTTGAAAGGTACAAATATTTTGATTGCATATGCAGATAATGATTAGCTGTTTGCCCCAAAAGTGAGAGCTTTGGGATCACACTAGGCTTTCCATTCAGTAAACATGAAACAAACAATTACAGTGATTAAAATCTACAGAATGGAGTTGTACTGAACAATGAGTATTTCCATTTGGATTGTTTTGCCCTATATCCTTCCTGGGCTCAGATGGACACTAAAAGACTCGGGTACTTTTTGTAAGAAATTATATTAGAGCCCATTATTATTCTACCGTCATTATTATTCTGTCATAGTATAATAGTTTTGTAGTCATGAATTTCCTAGGCGCTTATCAAGGGTTGATTGGCTGTGGCAACCACAGGGAGAGAACCATTAATCAGTGTCTGAGCACAAACTTTGTTTGACGAGGATTCCTGGGCCAGTCTCTGGAATCTCTAATTTAAAAGCATCTCAAATATTAGGGATGAGAACAACCGCTGGTCGACATGCTAGAGAGATGCTTTTAGCCAGAGTAATAGCATAAGGCAAGATGAACTTACAGACTGATTCCCTATAATGCAGCAGGAATATTCTCTAAAAGACAGCTTGTCATGCAAGTTAATATTCCTTGTCATGCAGCCATTAATTCATAGGGTTGAGTTATGTTATGTACAACTTGATGGAACATAGTGACAACACTGAGTTTACACAAGCTAACAACAAGGTCTTTTGGGCCTGCATACACCAAGGGTGCATACTAAACATGCAGAAGAAATCTTCTGAAACCCACCAAGGTTCCAGTGTAAACAGGCAGAGTTGATCTGCTTTTGTGTTTGTATATAACATATGTATAATATCTCTCACTCCTTCCCAGGTACCATTATTGCCTGTAAAAACGACTGGCTTTCTGTACCTTGCACTAGAGACAAACTGGTTGGATTTTATTTAGTTTGGGTTTTATTCTTAATTGGATTGATTACGTTCATCCCAAACTTTATTTTGGTGGCTGTAAGTCTTCCTGACAAAATTGCCCAAAGCATATACTAAACGTTACATCTTTTGTATGCTATTTGTTGCTTCACATAACATTCTTAATTCATAGTTTGGTATCTTTGTATTCAGACCCCATTGTGAAATGAACTGAAAGAAAAGAACAGGAAATCATTTGTTATCCTCCTGTGCAGTATTTGCTGAGGACTTCTCTAGCTTTAACCTGAATATATATCATACTGAAACCTGGGGATAGAATTCACCCAGATCAGAATTCACCTATAGAACCTGGGATTTCAAATAGCATTGATGGGCCACCAGATTGTTGACTGACCTAAGGATTCAGTAACTTTGTAGAAGTTGTACCTCATATCTTAAGGCAGTGTATGCTGATGCACAGAGTATCGTTTCATTAACCTTAGAGATAAATATTAGTGGACATTCTCTTTCCCCTAGATATGGCCATCATGGAAACACAGGCTACCAGACTTTAAGCAGGCTGAGTTTTAAATCCGAGTAGAGATCTCCAAAACCTATCCTGGCTATCTTGCTTGGTTTCTGTTTGTCATAGGGGAAGAGACTGCTTCCTTTCCAGCTAATACAGAAACCAAGTAGACCGGTCAGGAAGGGTAGGAGAGGTCTCTGAGTTTATTTATTTATTTATTTGAATTGTTGGGAGGGAAACAAGCCAGAGCACAAGCTGATGCTGGCATTTGGAGTAACAACTACCTACTCCATCTGAGAACAATAGCACTCAAGCGGTGTACACTAATTTGCTACTTACGGTTAATAAACCAGGATTCCTTTAAATCTCTAACTTATTATGTTCAAGTACATGAGATAGAATATTCTGTTGCAGCTGGTCTCATGGTCTGGACAAGACTTCTGTTTAAGGGAATGTACTGGGACTTGAAGAATTGCTTTTTGAACCAGAAGTGTCGGCACTAGATTCATACAATCTGTATTCAGACAAGAGACCAGGAAATCTTTGTTGCTTTTATTCATTTTTGTGCAAGCTTTTCAGTTCATCATCTTTAACTGATCTAGTTTGTTTTTAAAACCTGGTCTTAATTTTATACAAGTATTGTGACCTGATATGTATTTGCACAGCTCAGTTTGCTTTTAAAATAACCTTTTAGTCAGCTTCACCTCATTTACAAGCATAGTGGCATCTCCAAGACCTAGAAACAGAGCAAACAACTGTTCTATAGAAGTGACATGTAGGAAATAAGAATGTCCACTTAGGAGAAAGGCTGTTGTGGGGGTTTTTTGGAATGGAAATTATTGTACTTTTTCTGAAATTGTGCAGAGCTGCAGTACAGCTACTTTTTAGGCCCAACAAACAATGAGCCATGTGTTGTGTTGTAATACTCTCTCAGCACCTCATGGTGAGAACAAGTCTATCTGAAAGGGTGGTGCGTGACCCGATATGTATTTGCACAGCTCAGTTTGCTTTTAAAATAACCTTTTAGTCAGCTTCACCTCATTTACAAGCATAGTGGCATCTCCAAGACCTAGAAACAGAGCAAACAACTGTTCTATAGAAGTGACATGTAGGAAATAAGAATGTCCACTTAGGAGAAAGGCTGTTGTGGGGGTTTTTTGGAATGGAAATTATTGTACTTTTTCTGAAATTGTGCAGAGCTGCAGTACAGCTACTTTTTAGGCCCAACAAACAATGAGCCATGTGTTGTGTTGTAATACTCTCTCAGCACCTCATGGTGAGAACAAGTCTATCTGAAAGGGTGGTGCTGGTGGTTAGATGACAAGTATGCAGGTAACAAGTGTGATGCCATCAATTCAGAATTAGTCCGTTGACTCCTCAAGGAGTTTGTACTCATACAGGGGAAATGGTCATAAATCCTTCAGTGAATGAAGTGCAGAATTCATAATGATCCTGGATTTATTTGGAGTGCCAGCATACTCTGTAAAGAATTGCTGCTTATTTCAGTCTTCCTGCACTAATCCCTGTTGGATAAAGGCAGTGAGGCAAGAACTGGAGACAGCATAGGTTGCAAAGGGCTTGCACATGCCAGATTGCTGAGTGTGATTAACTTCTGCCCTTAAAAATAAGTCGGCTATATTTCTCAATTAGTAAAATGGGATTTGGTGCTCAGGAAGACAAGGAAGAAGGAGACTCAAACTTCAAACCCCTTTTTAGCCACGGTTTAGCCACAGGGTCGTGTGACCCTCAACCTGACTTACCTGCTGCCCCCACAGGGCTGTTGTGAAAATAAAAGGGTAATGTGTACTTCTGAATCAACTGCAGACTACATTTAATTCTGATATTGCTATTGGTTATGTATTTGATCGTATACCTGTCTCACCTCTCCCTACCCCCCCCCCTTATTTGTTTCTTCCAGTGTTTTTAAAATAGCTTTTATGGTCATTTTAAACATGCTACCAGGTAGGCAACATTTTGGCCTCCAGAAATGGCCTGACTGCAGTTATCCCAAGTCCTTCACAATTGTCTGCGCTAGCTAGGACTGATAGTCTAGCAACACTTGAAGGGGCCAGTAGTTATGCAGTCCAACAAATCACCCACTTCATCTAGTGAGCCACACATGAGGTTTTTTTTTAATGCTTGCATGTGAAGAATGCACACAAAAAAGAAAAAGAAAAAGAAAAAGAAAGTGCAGTCCAACAAATCACCCACTTCAACTAGTGAGCCACACATGAGGTTTTTTTTAATACTTGCATGTGAAGAATGCACACAAAAAAAGAAAAAGAAAGCTTTTGTGATCTCGCCCAGTGAGGAGGGAACTTTCCGAAATTGTTTGATCTCATCTACAGGAGTTGAAATAAGCAAAGAAAAATTGTATATGATGAAGTGTACTTGTACATTATGTCCAGATGCAACAAGGGCCTGCATCGTATGCTCCCCACCTCATTCTCTGGTGTAACTATAGAGGGGGGGGGGAGGTTCTGAAACATTTTCCTTCCATGAAAAAAAGAAATAAACAAACTGCAACTTTTTGTGCTGGCTGAACCTGAACAAAACTATAGATAAACACAGTTTATGCATATTAAAAACATCAAGCAAACTAAATTCTACTATATCTTTGGGTTGATGGTTCAAGTGCCTTCAGCAATTTTTTAACAAGTTGTGATGCTTGAGTCTTGTGCATTGGTTACATACTGTCTAGAGAAACCCTCATAACATTTATCTCCTATGGTATTTCCTAAAGATGCCACTTAAATCCAATTGGCTCTCAGTGGTCAGTGCAAAGAAATGTGGCCTTGTAAACAAAACATAACGAACGCACATGTCACATCCCATTCTGAAGCCATGCAATTTTGTTTTGTTTTTTATATTTCAGACCAAGTATATACATCAGTAAAACAGCTATCAGCACTCTTGCCTATCTCTGTGATGGTGATGCAAGAACTGGGTTGAATGGACTCCAGATGGCTATTCAGGCCAGGTTACCGAAACTGGCCCATCCCAGTAATATTGATGGCTTTTCTGCTAAAGAGGTGACCATCACAGAAGATCATGTGAAAGAAGGCCTCCAACGGTCTCACATTCTATATGATCGAGCTGGTGAGTGGCTAATTTTTAAAAACTGACTGGTCAGTCCTGAAACTGATCCCAGAAAACCAGGATAGCTATAAACATTTCTGCAATTAATTTTGCATGTTTTCTTTACCATAGGAATCTTGATAATGTTTCCTTTATTGGGGGAATCATTCTCTCTCAAGAGAAATGAAGAGATAACTGTATAGTAGGACCCCTGTATCTGCAGGATTGGTATAAATTATTTCAGTTATCCATGATTTACCACAGTCCTGTATACTGTATATAGCGCATTGCCCAACCCTTTGGGTGGTCTTTGTCCTGCCTCCTCGTATGTTCTATATAGAGTTCAGCGCTATCTGTGGTTTCAAGCGTTCGTAGAACATTGTGGAATGGATTGCTTGCAGATATGGGTGTCCTACTGCATGTGTTGTTTTAAGTTGCTTTCTGAGTCTGTTGTATGAAATAGTTTTGTTTTTTTTTTAAAAATATATATTTCTGTCTTTGAGAGGGAGAATTTATTTATTTTCATAAACGTATATGCCACCCAATTAGTGCTGGGCACTACGCCAGGCAGTTTACATAAAAACAATAGATATAAATATTTTGTAACTGACAGACAGAGATGACAATCAAATAAAAGCAAAACAGTAAGAACAAGAAGTAACAATATGATTGTGTGAAAACTAAGTAGACCTAAACAACTGCAAGTCAATGGTGAACATTTATACAGATAGTTAATCCCTAAAGGCTTCTTCAGATAGCATACTTTTTAGCATCCTCTTGAAGATGGATATGAGAAAGCCATATGACTTGATTTGGACCAGAGCAAGAGACCTTTTTTTTTACTACAACTCCCAGAATCCCTCACCAATATGCTTGGTAATGGGGGATTCTGGATTTTGTGGCCCCAAACAAATAGGTTTTCTGAACCTTAATTTGGACATGACACCAAACCGTATTATGTGAACATTTGGCTGAAATATTTTGAAAATTGTAATCTTTAAAAAGTGGTGTTTCCGAGCTCTGGTTTGGGCAAATACTAAACCTCATTTTACCATAATGTGAATAAGAAACAGGAAGAGTCAAGTTCACATGCTGCCTTCAGCCCACTTCTATACCAGCAAAGCTACATATTTCTTCAGTTAAACTGATTAGAATTTATTTTGACATCTGAATGAGGAACTCTGTTTAATTTATATTAAAGTTTATCAAAACAAGTCATTTGATCTTGGCTTGTTTCAGTAAAACAGAGTTACTAATCACAGTCTGTTCTTTTTAGACATAACAGTTAATTACTGTTAGTTTAAAAACATAAGGCACATTCTTTCAATTTCCTTGGAGCTGCAAAAGAGGAGATAGCAGGGCGTGTGGAACTAATGAGTTTAAGGTTCATTCCTGTAACACTCAAATAAAATTTAGCATTATTTCCAGACTTTCAGAAGAATGTGTTCATAGTTACCCTGTGTTTGCATGTGGAAATCTTAATACAGTGGACCCTCGACTTACGGATGGCTCCATTTGCGTACTTTTCGAGTTACGGCCTTCTCCGGCCGCAAAATTTCACTTCAACTTGCGGCTGGAGGATCGACCTACGAACCGGAAAGGAGAGGCGGGGAAAGCACCAAATTCAAATTCCCTTCCAGTCTATAGGCCACTGATCATGCCTTCGGATGCCTTCCAGGGCTTCTGTGCTGCCATGGGAGGCATCTCGGAGGTCCCCGCCACCACCGATCTTGATTCGGAGGCACAATCAGCGGCGGGGGGGGGAACCTCTGAGATGCCTTCCATGGCGGCGGAGAAGCCCTGGAAGGCATCCAGAGGCCCCCTGCTGTCGCCGCCACTGCTGGGAGCCAAGCTGCACCGGGCAATCCCGGCCATGCTCGGACTCCTGGACTTCCCCCACAACCGCTGCTGAGCGCGGCACGGCTCCCAGCAGTGGCGGCGGCGGTGGGAGAAGTCCAGGAGTCCAAACATGCCCAGGAGTTCGAGCAAGGTGCTGCTTTTTGCATTTTTTCTTTTTTCTTTTTTCTTTTTGTTGGGGGGATTTTTTCTTCGGCAGTTACGGATTAGTGGGTTTTCAATGCATTCCTGTGGGAAATGGATCCTCGACCTATGGACTTTTCAACCTGTGGCCACCGTTCCAATACGGATTAATTCCGTAAGACTAAGGTCCACTGTAAACAATTGATTTATCATGATGGGAATGAGACTTCTCTCCTCCCCCCCCCCATTTGTGCATTCCAGTGCTCTGACAAAGAGACAATCAGAAGCTTTTAAATCCTTTTTGGGTAATCAAGATTTATTGTGTTGTCTGGACCTATCATAGTTTGTTTGAAGCAATTTCCATACCTATTTCTTTTACTGGTTTTGCAGTTAATGAAAAATCAACCAGGAAACAAAAATTTCACCAGGAATGCTTATTTTTTGACAATGTATTGATGTGCCATCAAGAAAATGCCCCAATATTTGTTGCAAATGGCAAAGCCAAATTCTGAAAATAGAGACAAGATCCACCTCTTTCACTCTCCAGTGACCTCAGAATCTTCCTGTGTGCAAAGGACTTGGCCAACAAAACAGTGGTTGCTTTTGGAGACCCTAACCAGGGTTGCCTCCCCCTGAACATCTCCCCATTGGCCCCTGCACCTGTTCTAATGATAGGTGTGAAGAATGTGAGGAAGCTGTGCTGCTGGAGGAGATGAAACTAATGAGAGGAGATTGGCAGGGAACATATTGTGAACACCATACTATTGTCTCAAAGGGGAGAACTTTTAACAGGATAGGATAACGCATACCAGTATTCTTGAGGGACAGTGGGACAGTTGAATAAAAGGGCTTTGTTCATAGCTAAGAATAGCTTATGGCATTTTGTGTGTTGGCCCAAGACCATTTTCAGCAATGTATTACGAGGAGTTGAATCCTCATAATTATATAATAATGGAAAAAATGTATAATAATGCAAAGAGGAACTGTGTGCACTTCCGTTTTGGTTATGTTCTATTCTGGTAACTGTCTAAGAGACAATTTCTACAGTCAGGAGAAACAAATGCCAAGGGTTTTGATGAGCTGGATCACTTCAAGCTACAGCTGAGTGGATAGCAGTGGAAGTATGTAATCTTAGAACTACAGAGCTGGAAGGGGCTCTATGGATCATCGAGCCCAGCCCCTGTTGGGGAGGCACAGTGGGGAATTGAACTCCCAGCCTCTGGCTCCACAGCCAGATACCTAAACCTTGTGTATAGAGGGAGGAAATCTCTGCATCAAGAAAACTGGTATATCAAGCATTGGGTATCAGCCTCATTTTTTCTGCCTTGTGTTACTTTTTTAATGTAGATTTCTATTCTGCCTATCTAGTGGCTAGGCCACTACTCTCAATGGCTTACAATAGCATAACATAACATGTACTGTAACTGCAGTAGTAATCTGATAAAACTTCATACAAGGAAAACTCAATTTCTAAATCTCAAACAACTAAAACGTGTGTGTGTGTGCGCGTGTGCATGTGCATTTCGTATATATACTGTATATGAAATACAAAAGTATAATCGATGGCAGCAAAACAGAGATGATTATTCCAGACTTCATGGAATATAGGTGATCATGAGCAAAATTAGTCCAGGGTAAGGCTCTGAAAGCAAGGGACGTGGTGGCACTGCGGGCTAAACCACAGAAGCCTGTGCTGCAGGGTCAGAAGACCAAGCAGTCGTAAGATCAAATCCATGCGACGGAGTGAGTGCCCATCGCTTGTCCCAGCTCCCGCCAACCTAGCGGTTCGAAAGCATGCAAATGCGAGTAGATAAATAGGGACCACTTTGATGGGAAGGTAACAGCGTTCCGTGTCTATGTCGCACTGGCCATGTGACCACAGAAGATTGTCTTTGGACAAACTCTGGCTCTATGGCTTGGAAACGGGGATGAGCACCGCCCCCTAGAGTCGAACACAACTGGACAAAAATTGTCAAGGGGAAACTTTACCTTTACCTTAAGGCTCTGAAAGGCGTGTTTGGGGCACATCCAAGCATGCAACCCTTCCCCTCTGACCCCCACAGCCATGTACCTCCGACTGATGAAGCAACATTGTCATTTTTAATATATTGAGTGCAGACTTACAGGTTCTCTGTACAGTCTTGAGATCAGCTTTGGCAGGACTAGTTTCAACTGGTGAAAATGGAGCCTGAAGATTTTAAGGTCATGATGTTTACCACACTAGTTTTCAGTTATCATCATAACCTTATTCATGCGTTCTGACTTGTATTTGTATAGCATGGGTTGGGCAACTTGTGGCTCATCAAGTGTGGACTCCAACTGTCCTCTTCCAACACCACTACCACCGTTGACAATACTGGCAGCAACTGCAGGGAGCTGTAGTATAGTAACATTTATAGGACATGTTGCCTAGTCTTGCTGATAAAAGCGTGTTAATCAGATCCTATTTTAAGCTGGACCGAAGGTGTGTGGACATGTGGGTTGGACTGGCCCACAGATATATGGCCTATGGCATGAACTACCAACCTGTGGAATTGCCTGGCTACAGAATGACATTAAGGGAGTCTTTGGTTTGTTCCGTACAGAGCACGATTGGCTATTTCCTCTTGGCAAAAAGGGCTGAGGATTTCTCCCAGCCTGGACTTTACCATAATGGAATGGGTCAAAAATTATATATATAGCTCTGTATATATATGATTTATTGTAGCAACATAACTTTGGCTGAGCTGGAAGAGAGTGGAACAGTGTGGACAGGCTACAAAGCTGGATACTTTTGAGTGGTTTCAGGGCCAGAGTGTATGCTGATAAATGCCAATAACTTAACATCATGTGGTAGGACAAAGGGTTGATTTACTTTCTGGGAATAAAGAAAGGTTTATCTGCTGTGATTTAAATAAATGTTCAAATTGTACCTGTGAATGAGCTGTGCTTACACTTTTTTGTCCACCGGGGCGAAAAATACAACCTCATTTTAAATACAAGACTGCAGGAACTTGTGTGCCAAAGGTGCCTTCTTGTTCCCTGTCTTTTTGTGCTGGATAGGAAGGTCTCAGTGGCAACTGTAAGTAAATCTGACTGAATATGGTCTCTGTTCTTCCTTTAGTAATCTTGTACTATCAGAATTTCCAGCTGTCTTGAGGACAGTAGCTGCATTTAGATGGACATGATAATCCCCATCCACACCTTCTTGATCGTCATGGCAAGGTTTGGCATTGCAGAGCTGGCATACCAGAGCCCTATAGTTTCTCCGCAAATAAAATTCAGCTCCTGAAATAGGTCTAATATGTTCCATCATTTTCTGGAAAAAGCAGGAATAAATTTGAAGCAAGACATGGATGTTAAATTTTGAAATTGATTTTCTTGAGGTATATATGTATTTTAGACATGATTAAGAATTAACCTTTGAATTATTCAAAAGCACTACAGGATCTAGAGATCTACAGGATTCCCTGATAAATCTTTCTCTAGCATGGTTCATAGAAAACTTCCACCATGAATTGTTTATAGATGCAATCACTAAAATCTCAGTCACATTGCATACAGTACTTCCTTGCTGAAAAATGGTATGTGTTGTAATTAGAGTCCTATCTAGTACAGAATTTCCCCTATTGCCTCTTGTGTCAATACTTTGTTGAAACTTTCAAGGATCCCTTTTATTTTTGGCATCCCTTTTTAAGGAAATGAATTTCGCAATTTGCTTAGGTCAGACTACTTGAGTACAACTGCATACAAGGATTCCTAATTTGATACCAGCTCTTGCTAAATTCGTGACTTGGCATCGTTGTGTGTCCCAAACGTGAACCATTTCTGTCTGTCTTTTTGGCGGAGATCAGAACTGGAGATTTTGGTTTGGGGATTAGACTTGTCTCCCTACCCTTAGCTATGGGCTTGTATTTAATTGGCTTCTGGACAAATGTACTGCACATTTTGTCACACCAAGCTTTATTCTTTTTCCAGGAGTAGCTTTTCTTATCCACTTGATAGGGAAATTTTGTCAGATTATCTCCATTGACACAGAGTAAGCCCTGTGATAAGAGATGTGTATGCTTTTTTAAAAAAACTCTTTGTATAAAATATAGCTATGTTAGTAATGAAAAGCAGAAGAGTCACATCAAAACTACAGAGCCCCTCCCTGCTCTTCCCAAACACATTGGTACAAAATCTTAATTGTTAATTATAGTGATTATTATCTCAATTTCTGTATTTCATCAGTGGTGAAATGCAGATTCACAGAATTTAACCAGAGGTTTGCCTGGCCCTCCAACAGTGCTCTGAACCAGATACAAAGATGCGATATTAGGTCTCTTTTCCAAATTGCAAATAATTAATTGTAATCCCTTGGCATGAAGAGATGTTCTGGCCTTTTCAATTTGTAAGTGTTGCTTTAGAATTTTAAAATCTACTTGAAGGACTGCCAATAGGAGGCAGAGCTGTTTGCTCTAGCATACATTACACACGGAGAGCAGCCATGTTGTTATTCTGCCCACTCCATGAGCGGATACGAGATCATTAAAAATGTTTGTGAAGAAGTTATTTTTCCTTTGTGTGAAGGCACAGTACAATATGAAATGTTAGTCTTCATTAAAGGGTAATTAGTGTTTCCGTAGCTGCTTGGGTAGTCCAGTGAATTAAGTGCCTGGCTCCCAAGCCACACACTGGGAATTTGATTCCCCATTGTGTCTCTAGAAATAGCTGGCCTGTGCGGCCTAAGGCAAACTATACAGTCCCAAGGCATCTCTAGAAGTAAGAATTGACTTGACAGCATGTAATATTGGTTAGCGATTCTGTATAAACCAGAAATGGAGAAAGTGTGGTCCTCCAGATCTTACTGGAATTCACCATTCATCAACTGCAGACAGCACTGAAGGAATAATGGGAGTTGCAGTCTATCAACAGCTGCAGGGTATCTTCATAACATATACTGGCTTCTTTTAAAAAACAGCACTAGTGATTGCTTTGAAATGTAGCGAACAGAGGATACTAAGGGACTGGAAGCAAATTGAAGCCTTGTTCCTTATGTTGGTACCTTTGAGTTCTTGTGTCAGGTTTATGAGTACAATGTACTGTATACACTTCTTCCTATGTTACTGAATAGGAAACACATTAAGGTCAGTAACTTCTTGTCATTTAAAATATTCAGGTTATCCCTTTCATGTAGTTTGAAGTCTTTGTTGTTAGGTGTCACCAAGTTGCTTATAACTTTCGACGTCTCTGTCAATTCATAACTTCTAAGAAGCCTTGCTTTTAATAGTTGTCTAAGATCTCTCAAATAATCAGTATTCCTGGATTCAAAATCTGAAAAATATTTGTTGACTTCAAAAAGATTCATGCTTTGGCAAAGGTTCCAGCTTTAATTTCCAACATCTCTCATTAGGTGAGTTCCCTGAATTTGAAAACGTGACATCCAAGTGCTGTATAAATTACAGTGGGATGGAGTCTAAGTTAAACACAATATTCACCCTTTGGTGATAGAAGGAGAAACACTGGCTCTTGTGGAAACTCTTCAAAAGATTCTTAAAATGTTAAAATAAACTGTTTTGAGCTCCAACTTTCTTCATCAAATGTATAATCCAGAACTTTAAAATGTTGACCATATGAAAAGAGTTATGAGGATGTGTTCAACCAGAGTTCCAACAGATCTGTATCAACAGATCTCTCCATACAGAACCATCTTTCTGCCCATGTGCAGGCATGCATGCACATGTTTGTGTTCTGCAGTGATTACCATTACTGCTGTGTTTTTCTACTCCCCCCCACCTCCATTAAATACTCTGTGAATAACTCCAGTAAGTCTAGTCACTGCACAAAAGAATGCCAGCTGGAAAAGAGAGGCTACACTTGCCTTTTTCAACATTTAAAGGCCATCTTGGTTTTAAGAGACCGGGCGACGCCATTCCCAAGAGTATGACGAGACTCCCAGCTGCCTGGTTTATTGCAGTCGGCTCAAGTTGAAAGCCTGAGTGCTGTGACAGAGCACAGATATGCTGTTTATATTGGCCTGACGCTGATGGCATGGCATACCAATGGGCTCTTTGTGTGAAGCGCTATTAAAAATAGCTGTCTGGTGGCCTTCTGTGTCTTAGAAGAGACCACCCTTGTGAGAGAGGGATGGATCACCTCCCAGGAAATCCTGTTTAAGAGGGATGCATGATTTACACCTTCACAAGCAAATAAATAAATAAATCGCAAATTAAATTTGGAAGCAGAAAGACTTAGACCTATAGCTACTGTTATATGTTACTTATAGGGCGTAACACTTGGGTGCATTATGACTTCCCACGTTACAAAGCACACTGCCCACAAAACATGTTTAGGTTTATAAACCAGCATGAATTCCTTTGCTGGACCTCCCTTACCTCATCCTAGGGAATCTGTGGCTTCTCCAGATGTTTTTGTACTTTAAGTCCTAAAAGCTGCACCTAGGCTCACCAGTGGTGAGCTGTGATGGGAGTAGTAGTTTATGCCTTGGAGGTATCCCTGCCCATGTCCAGCAGTCAGTCTGTGAGCAAGCAATGAGAAAGAGCGTCTCCTCTGAAGGCAGCGCTGGTGAGTTGCTCTAGAAGACTCAGCATCACTTTTGGCCTTTTGTCTCTTTCTAAACAGGTGAAGAGCACTACAACTGCATCTCAGCACTCCATAAATCTATGCGGGGCTCAGATGAAAATGCTTCTCTTTACTGGCTTGCCCGAATGCTTGAAGGTGGTGAGGATCCACTGTATGTGGCAAGGCGGTTGGTGAGATTTGCCAGCGAAGATGTAGGCGAGTAAACCCAAGAGAACTTCTTTCCCTTTTTCTCTGGCTTTTTGATAAGGCAGTGGATCAATTTTAAAGACCCCCCCTCCCTTGCTAAGTACAAATCTTTAGTGAGAAAATGTTCCCTATTTACTTGCTAAATATTTATGTGCTTATTTTTAAAACCTTGATAGCCTTTGTTGATTTTTGGTTTTGTTATAGCAAATGTTTAAGATGTTTAATGTTAGATGTTTAAACATCTTTCTGTAGCAGGGTGGAAATTACCTCCTGGACCCTGCTTTTGAACCCTGCTCCCCAAGCTGTTGCTGAATTGGCCACTGCAGGAAGCCAAACCACCATGACTGGCTTTACTGTTAGACACCATTGGCTTGATAGTGCAGGAAGGTGACAGACCATCATCCCGCATAGGATCATGAGAAAGGCTGTGCTCTGATCTGTGCACCACAGAATTGCCACAGCCAGCCCAGCTCAGCAATTTCAACAACAATGTTAATGGATGAACGATGCTGCCCCCTGAAGGATTGGGGGGCCCTCCTACACATTCCCCTCCACCCCCGGTCCCAAAGTTGTACATTGCTGCTACTCAGCATGCAACACAAAACTAGAGCAGGAAAAACAAAATTGATATCAGAATAAAGTTGTGCACTAAAGGCCTTCCTGGACTTAACAATTTAAAACACTAGAACAATTTTAAAAATTTTAAATAATGTAAAGAATTTAAAGAGATAAAATAATTCCTGAATTGGTATATATTTTGTATTTTTTTAAAAAAAAACTTCCCATTTCCTTTCTGGCTGTGAAAACACCGTCCTATGAGGCCAGAAATTGCTGGTGTTGCAGGAGCCTAGCTGCATTTTCCACTTGTGCTTCTAGAGGGAGCAAGTGGCCATTCTGAATAAAAATATGTATTTGGAGCGGGTGTGGGTGTGCTGGGGCCACTCCTGGGTCCCCCAGGGGCTGTATGTGACTTATGATTTACACGTTGTCTATCCCAACCTAAATGGCGTTGGACTCCAAGTTTTGGAAACACTTGACAAGAGATGGTCAGTTAACCTATTCACCGCTGTTACCCTTTTGCTTGACGTTCCACATTGGCTTTAAGCCGTGCAGAGCAAAGGTGAGCAAAGGTTTGTTGTTCACTTTGCTCCTGTCACTGTTCATTTGCTCACAAGGGAAAGGGAGCATCAGAGAGGAGGATGTAGAGCAGCAGCAAGGTCAGGAGTTTCCAGTGGGCCTCCTTGTGTGACGTGGGCCTTGGACACTGCCCAGTAATACTGACCCCTGACTATAATGGACCTGATGATGATGGTGGTGATGTTATTCTTTGTTTCTAGGACTAGCAGATCCCTTGGCGTTAACTCAAGCTGTGTCTGCTTATCAAGGCTGCCACTTCATTGGAATGCCAGAGTGCGAGGTAATTTATGAATTTTTTTCCATAGTGTTTGTCACCATCCCCCCCACACACACACACATACACACATCGTCTGTCTGAGTGAAACCATTTTTCCCTGTTGATTCATTATCTTTCCTTCTTAATCCTCATGCACAGGAGTGGACATTTCAATCGCCCAGAGGCACATTCTGTTGCAGATTGCACAAAAAACTAGAGCAACAGTATATGTCCCCTAGAGAGCTATAAACACACAGTATAACTTCAGGTTTGGGGAGTTTGTTACTTGCATGATCAAAAAATGGCCAGACAAAAATGGTCCTAGCAAATCTGCTTTTTGCTCTAGCCAATAAAATGTTTTGGACAACAAACAAACAGAACCACCCAGAGAACATTCTTATGCTGTCTTTTGGTGAGCTATGATTCCAAAATGCAGAAGTTATGTACTCTGGCTTTTAGGAGGTTGACCGATGTGAGGTGGATGAGCAGTGGAATTATCAGTGGATTCAGGAAATACAAGAAATATATATGTAAGGCCAATCCTAACAGTAACTACAGTTCTAACCCTACTGTTAACCTTTAGTACTTTAGCAATAAGGTCAGAATTAATTCAACATGAGGTGGGTTTTTGGTTTTTTTTGCATAATCTTAATAAAGGTAGTTTTAAAATTTTCATAATTAAAGATACTTGTTGAAGTTAGAACTTTGTTTGCTCAGTATATATGCTTAAGTGACATATAACTCTTAGTTCAAGCACATGTCAAGAATTATTTTCAGTTTTTAATCCCAGTTGTAGAATGTAGCATTTGTCACCCTCCCACAAACCTCTCAGCTGCTGTGGTGATAGCAGAGGGAAGAGGGGAGAAGATGTCCCCTGCTGGCCTTTGTAGAATCGCCACTACCATGTTCAGAGCTTGTGTTTGGAGACTCAAAGCAGCTGGGATCAAAATAAAATGAACAGTTTCCTAATTAGGGTAATGGACAAGTGATCAGCAGAGCCCAATAATGAACTGAAGGGGGATTGACCATCACAGCTAATGATTACAGTATATCATCTCAAAAGCTGCTGCTGCATTGCAAATGGAGATGTGAATCATTGGTCAAACCCATTGGATGGTGGAATTTTTGTTGAAGTGTGCCATTTCAGGCTATCTGTTATAATGTTAAAATTCTTTCCCAAAGAACACATGTATGTGTTTCAAGGGGAGGGCCTAGACTAGTGTGTCTGTCTGTTGGCGGTTATGTATAGTTATAGATAAAGTAAGTGGGAGATACCCAAATGTGATTTCTCTTTAACTTCACTGTCACAGTTTGAAATGGTGGTCAGCTGTTCAGGGCAACTTTGCAGTAATTGTCAGGCAGCAAAAGCCTGAAAAGGGATAGTTTGTTCTCTTCCCCTCCCCTCTCTCTCTCTCGCTCTGTCACATGGCACAGAGAGAGCGAGAGAATGAGAGAGAGAACTGCAGAGCTGGAAAGGACCCTATGGATCAAGTCTAGCCATTGTCAGGTTGACACAGTGATTTATTAATTTGATATATTAATTATATACATTGATTTATTGGTTGTGTAATGAATTATACAGGGATACATTAATGTGATATATGGACATGCCAATAGTAAGACTTCCAAGAGACCTCCAGATCATTTCTTTTCTTGTACAGGTCTTACTAGCCCAGTGTGTCATCTATCTTGCCAGAGCGCCGAAATCTATAGAAGTGTACAGCGCTTATAGCAACGTCAAGGCATGCCTCAGAAACCATCAAGGTCCGCTTCCACCTGTTCCCTTGCACTTAAGGAATGCGCCAACCAAGCTCATGAAGGACATTGGCTATGCGAAAGGTTATAAATACAATCCTATGTATAAGGAACCGGTAGAACAGGACTACCTACCTGAAGAGTTGAAAGGGGTCAATTTTTTTACCTATGAAAGAATGTGATGACCCAACGCATGAGACTGTCTTTTTCCTCCCCCCTCCCCCTCACTATTTGCAATCTAGTATTAATTCTATAATACGTTATTGTAAGTTCAGTTCTGGTTTAAGGCCATTGTGTTTTCTGACCTGATGATTTTCAATTATTTGGTTTATAGCAGCATGTTCGTCCAATATACTGATGATTTATAAATGGTGACTGTCTGTCTGTTGGCAGAAGTTAAAACATATTGTTCTAGAGAGGAAAATACATCAGACATCATTATGTTATAAAAGAAATTCTGCCACAGTCAGGCAGGAATATTTTAGGTAGTAGATGTTATTTTAAAAGTGAAATACAACAGGCACAATATGACAGAATTAGGCCCTTTTAATGAGATTGAATTAGACATGCACTTAATGCTCCTAGTGTAATCAGTGGGAATCAAAAGTGCCTAATTTTCAATGGTTTGTGCATGCTGTTAAATATTTTAATACGATCTACTCAGAAATGAAAATTATACTGCATTTGCACCTTAAGATGGAAAACAATATTGTCATATAATTTTTGATATTGTGAAATTCCATGAATAAAATTAGTTTAAAAAATATGTGTGTTTTGTTCAAAGAAGTTTGGTTGTGCCAGTGTTTTCAATATTTTCCTGCTTCCCATGTTTGGATCTTTGATCCTGCAAATGCCAATGTGGTGTTTCAGTGATAGTTAAAGTTGTCGTTGGTGAAAATTCATTTTTCTGCCAGTTGGCAGTTCAGGAACTCCTTCGAAATTTGGTGGCTTTTGCAGACTCTTCATCTAGTTGTGTGGGGTTGCTGCACTGTGGTTTTTTTCCTTTATACCAGTAATACCCAAATGTAGCACTAGGACAAGTCACATTTTTTGGACGACTACTCCTGAATCCACCAGCGAGTGTAGCCGCTGGCCATGCTGGCTGAGCTGTTCTGGCTTTGGTCCAAAAAGTATAGTTTTTCCAAGCTCTTGGGAACCCAGAGCACCCACCTGCAAAATATACCTACCTGAACTCTTTTGTTCTCCCTATGATTCATTGCTTCTTTTTAGTCTGCCCTTGTTGGGTAGGGAGCTGTTAGGTGGCATTGATTGATTTACCAAATCTTGATGGCTTGGAATAATCTGTCTTCTGAAGAGCCATTGTACTTCTGTAGAAATTGGTCCTCTGCACTCACCTTCTTCCATTTAGGGGTCATGTTTGGAATAGTGAACTATACAGAAACAAGAACTTAGACATGGTGTGTG